CAGGAAAGACACACTAAAACACCTTTAGAAGTTCTGAATGAATATCACAAGATATTAAGGTCCAGTTTTAAAAAATACTGAGAAACATCCTGAGCTTTCCCTCCCTGTGGTCACTTCTGAACTCTCCTCCTCCAGCTTTCTCCTCTTTCCTCTCGTATCATCCTCTCCATCATCCTGCCCCTATCCTATCTCCTTTGGTTATGAGGATGGAGCAGCAGCAACCTTTCAGAGTCTTTCATCTCTAATCAGACATGCTGTACTACCCATGTGACACCGCAGAAGGGAAGGATATGACAAATTGTTCTTCAGATGTGGAGACCAAGTTTTATTTTGAAGAGGAGAGTGAGACATATGCGCGGAAACACATCAGAGGAGAAAGTCAAAACAGAACGAGACATTTACAGAAGTCATCGAGAGACACGAGGAAAACTTAGAAAAGCAGAATGATTCAGTGAGGGGATGGAGGGTTAGCTGGATGTGAGTCATTTCTCAACACTGCTGACAATTCAACCTTTTGTACTCTTCTATTTTGAGATCCACTCTCCTTGAATGTGATTATCTCTCATACACGCTAATGACATTTTAATTGATTGGAATTTGCCTCCTGGACAAGTGCTCTATGTCTGAGTGAAGGTACAGTACATACCATACCATCTATAACACACACGATTCTGAATGTATCTGAGGTTTCTGTACCGTCCATCTCCTAAATCTCTATTTAGGTTGCAGTACAATTAGCAAAGTACCACAGACACCTTGGCTGTGTTTCTACTATACAGGCAAATATATAGTGAGTGCGCCATTTTGTAGTGATGTCTGAATGGATAGTGGGAATGATTATACCCTATGTAATGGACTCAATAGTATGTTTTTTATTGTGTGGTTGTTTGGCTGTAACTTTTTGTGCGCTGCTGGCTGGCCAGGTCTCCTTTGTAAAAGAGATTGTTGATCTTAACGGGACTTACCTGGTTAAATATGGGTTAAATAAAGTGAAATAAATAAGGGTAAATAGGGTAAAAAATATCTGCATATGTCTATTCAGACACAGTTGGAAATATCTGGAACTCTCAACTTCAACACAACAAAGGTTAAACAGAAAATGACTTACATTAGTAGGACAGGTTGCAATCGTGCTGCTGTCTTTCCTCCAGTCTGTTTGCCAGTGTAACATTATTAATAGACCTATGTTTAATGTGAGCAGTGCAGTGCATCTCGCAACACAAGACAAACGGCCACAGAGTACATTGTAATGTTATTGATTAATTTGGGAAAATATGTTCAGTATAATTTCATGTTTTTATCACACATATGCATGTCGGTATCTGTTGTAGATGGTTCACCAGTCGATGCTGATATGGCATGTTTTAATTGTGTGGCAGCAACGATGTAATTAACGGCGCTGAGAAAATGAGTAGTGTCCGATTGTGTTTTTTCATGTTGCAGATGAGCTCACTGTATTGTGCTCTACATAGAGTAGTGAATGATTTCACTTGTGTGTCCTCCAGTGCCTCCTGGGGAATTCCGAGGTGTTCTGAGGCCAGAGGATATACGTATAGATATATAGTCTGCCCTAAGGTCTCCTCCCAGTTGAATGTGTCCTCCGCATGGAGGCCTTCAGTAGGACTGTAAACATGTCAACTGAGAGTAAGCATTGTTTCAGAAAGGCTCCTGTTTTCTCCTTTGATAGTAAAGACATTGGGCCTGAGTTTCCTGCAAACACAGTTGCCATTCAGTTTTCCTTACGCATCTTTGATGCGTCTGTATATTTGGTAATTTTGGTGCTCGTTTCTTTTGAAATGCTTTTTTTTTTTTGTAAATGCAAACTTTATTCCCCCAAAAAAGTTGCCACTGGATCTAAAAACAGAAAAAGTTGTCTGTGAACATAATTCTTGGGTTTAGAGAAACGTTACATATTGATAGCTCAACCAAATTGCTAGAAAAATGCTGGCATTATACTTTTCTGCAAATCGTGGATATGTGATGATTCATTTTTTACATTTCATATTTAGCAGATGAGTTGAAACTTGTGACGATGCTGTGGTTAATGTGTGGCTAAGTTTAGGCACAAAAAACACTTGGTCAGGGTTAGAAAAAGGTCATTATATGGCTTAAAATAGCCTGTTCTGTCGCTATAAACAGGGCTGGAAATGTACCAAAACTCCTATTAAAAAAGTGCTTTTGTTGCAACAAACTTGACTGGACATGTCCCAAACTCTCCTAAAAAATACCCGATTTCATCGCTAGAAATGTGGCTGAAAAAAGTCCCAAACTCTTGTTAAAATCTACCTGCTTTTCAAGCCATAAACACAGCTGGAAATGTCTCAAACATGTTTAAAAAAAAAACAAAAAACTGCTTGACAAGTCCTTAACTCTTGTAAGAAAAAAAAAAATATTCTACTAGCTTTTGTCACTACAAACGCATTTGGAAATGTCCCGAACTCTCGTTTGAAAAAAATACCTGCATTTGTCTCTTAAGACACAGCTGGAAATGTCTCAAACATCCATTTGTCCACACAATATTTAGAAGACAAAACGTTGATCTTGAGTGTGTTGTTGTTAATATCAAGCCTTGCTCTTTTATAATCAGTAAATAGACCACTCTCTCTATTTTTCTGTTCACAGCATTCACATGTATTCAGTGTGTTCACTCAAGTGTCAGTGTACAGTAACATTCACAAATCATTTATTGTATGTCTTTGTATTTATGAGGATCTACAGGGCATCATATTGAATAGCTTTTATTCTTGTGAATAGAGATTTTCACGAACTCCACATAGAGTTATATATTTTTTTGAATATTTATGTCATTCATTGTCAGAGCACTTTTGAGTTTTTACTGGCAAACTAAGAGCTACATCCGTGTTCAAGGCCTATAACAAGACTGCCTGTGGAACATTGATTACTTTCTTTGTGTAAATACTTTATAGGTACAGTTTTCTGTGTGTCACCTGAGCAGTCAGTCTGCTTATAAAAGTCCACAAAGTACACAAAGTCTGAGAAAATAGCAAAATCACCTTGCTCTCAGGGCAGCATCAGTCTTTGTGTGCATGTTCTCCACTTTAACTGTCCTGTATGAAGTAAACAACGAGCTGCCTGAGGCAGAAGAGTGAATGTTCCAAGAATGTGCAGTATGGCCCTCAAAATGGCCATCAGCACTGAAAGACCTCACAGTGAATGCTGCAATGCAATCATTCAAGAACCCTCAAACTGTCCTTAAACAAAACTTTTAAATCCAAACTTGACCCATGCACTGTTATTCAACACTGTACAGAAAATGTAGTGGCAGCTTTGTGAGCCGAGTAAAAAAAAAAATTATGTCAGAATTAGAGTTGGTGCATTTTATGAAATCTGAATCTGAAACCCAGTGTTAAACACAGTCGTGAGTCGCAGCCTAATTATTTTGTATCAGTGCAAGGTTTTTTTCTGATGGTCATGATTCAGAATTGTTAAACCCTGTGTAATGAAAATCATATAAACACATCATGGTTGGAAATGAACTTTTTGTCCACCTGCCGCTGTGGCTAGTGGATTCCCAAATCTACCAGCCACTCAATAGATTACAACTATTTTTTTCTGCCGGTGAGTGAAGTCAATCCAGCAGCCATTTGTGTATTTTACCAGCATTTGGCTTGTGACTGGTGCTAATTACCAACCCTGGAACACATCTGTGTATGCAGATAAAATGAACCACATCTGTGCCTTTAGTGAGAATCTGTTAGACTAAAATCAGTCTGTTAGGCTCTGCTTAAACCTGGTATTAACATTCATTTTGGGTGATCTGATCACAAGTGGACAGCGCAAAATACAAGTGTAAACGACCACCAAGATGCATTATGATCCAATCACTCAAAACCACTTGCTAAGGTAGTCTGTCTGTGACACATTTGACCTCATATCTTTTGTCGTGGGAACTAGGGCTGCACGATATTGGAAAAAACTGACATTGTGATTTTTTATTTTTTTTTGCAATATATATTGCGATGTTAAAAAATACAAGAATTTTCACCAGATGAGTTAAACTAAGAAAATTAACAAATAGTGGCAGGGCTTTTACTCACCACAGCTGCAGAGGCTCCCAGCTTCATGTGGAACAGACTACATTATAAAAGGGCTGTCATTTATTAATCCCTCTGTATCTTTATATATTTACTTTTTATCCGCTCCCGTTGCCTTGATAAAGTTATTGCATCGCACCGTCATTTCAAACTCAACACTTCCTAAACTTGTTTCAGATTAAAAGCCCCTTATAACCTCGGCTGAGAGAATCCCTCCATTTTCTAAATAGGCTTTTATTGTGAAACATTTGTAGGAACTTGTTGTGGAGGATTCAGTGACTTGTATGTTTGCGTACGGAAATTCAGACGGAGCTCCTGCCATCTGCTGGCACTTTTTACGTCACTACAGCAACATTTCGGCTGGTACATGAACAGACACAGTGACTCAAATAATCGTAAAAGTAATAAAAATAGGACAAGAATAACCCGATGACATCACACACGTCGTGAAAGACGACCGGGGATAATTGGTGTGGACCATCATGTAGTGTGTCATGTCTGTTGGCCAAGTCACGGCACGATTTTATGACTCCACAATCGTGTAATGTGACATAGTGACTTTCAGAACGGGCAGAAAAATTGGGTAGTGTGAACCAGGCATAAATCCTCCTTTACCGTTTCTCCCTCTTGCATGTCGCTCATTTTCAGTGTGTGACTGCAGTGTGTGCATGAGAGGGGGAGGGGCTATTGAGTGCGCAGAGAGCGGAAAACATTGCATGTCCTGCGATGTGACTATCGCACATGCGCACATCGCGATGGCAATGTTCAAATGATATATATTGTGCAGCCCTAGTGTGAACACTAATGTATCCTGGTTTGTCCCTGATAAGGGCTACATCATCAGTGCAGGACATGGTGGTTGTCTTGGTGACAGCGCGCGAATGCTCTCTTGAGCTGGAAGAAGTGTTGTGTGACCATCTATCGTTTTGCCCCATAGAAGAAGACATGTTGAACTGTGCCGGTGACAGTGATATCTCCACCTTTGCTGACACAACCGCAGACCTGACTAGCAAGCATTCTATGGAGCAGCTAGCAAAAGTGAAGACATAATACTCGTGCACAGGGCAGTAAGATCATCTGAACAAGTTGTCAGCTGGAGATGCATAATAGGCAGAGGTGTGAACTAGGGCCGTAACGGTACACGTATTTGTGTCGAACCGTTCGGTACGCGACTTTCGGTTCGGCACGACCCTGTACCGAATTATTGGGCGCAGGATATTATTGTGTTTTATTTTGTTTTATTTTAATTCCGTTTTTGCGAGCCGAACCATTTAAAATATCTAGTTCCCCGACGGACATAATTGAGTGACGGACCGAGTCCGACCGTAAATCTCCGCTTTCTCTTTGTGCAGCGCATTCTCGCATTTTGACAACATGGCAAGTGAGCCTGACGAACCTGAAGACCCACCCGCAAACCTTAAGTCCTCCGTTTGGGAACACTTTGGTTTCAGGGTAAAATACGAAGATGGAAATAAACAAGTGGACAAGACAAAAGCAGTGTGCCGACACTGCAGAACAGCGGTCGGGTATGTACTTGGAAACACGTCTAACATGCTAACACATCTAAAGCGACACCACCCAAGTTTGAACGTTAACCAGCACGACTAGAAAAAGCAATCTGGTGCAAACTATGATATCGTCGTTGTTTAAAAAGAAAGGGCGTTTCCCTGACCATCGCGCTAAAGAAATAACCAACACCATTGGAGTTGTGTAAAATTGTTTAAGCTGCACTTTAGATATAAGCATGTTTTGTTTACTGCACTTTAACAAAGTGGGAAAGCTAAGTAAGTTCCTAGTAAAACTGAATCTGAGCAGGCTTTAAAGCTGACCAGCTGCACTATACTTTTTATTTTAATTGAGTAAAACTGTTAAAGCAGAAATGTATATTTATATTTTTCATTCAAAAAATGTGTTAAAAAAACAGCAGGATTTTATATATATTTGTTTCATTCAAAAATTGTGTAAAAAGAGTTAACTGCTGTGTTGGTATGTTTTAATAAGGTTACCAATAAGTAAAAGATATTTAATAGTTGTCTATTTTTTTCATTACTGTACCGAAAAAAAACGAACCGTGACTTGTGTACCGAGGTATGTAACGAACCAAGATTTTTGTGTACCGTTACACCCCTAGTGTGAACAGCAGTGTGTCTCGGCTGACCACTTCTGCTTTGGTCACCGGGATGAAACAGGCTCTTAGAGACCTGTATCTGTTGTGCTTGAACCTCCTGCGCCTGTCAGCTCTTTAGAGTTGTCTGTCTAAAGTGTGTCTGATGAAACGGATACGCTTCCATTTTAATCAATACAGCAGTCTACACAGGCTGGATAATGGCTGCATGTATTGATGCGTGAAGAGGATTTTCTATTGTTTATACATGTGATCCCAGTTATTGTGTGTTGGGCACCGAGCGCTTCCAAAAGATTTGTGAGTGTGACCCACGTTAAATACTGTGCCTGAACACAACCTGTGTAATCACTAAATATGCTGCTCTGCTAACATGCTTTCATTTCATGGGCATTGTCATTGAACTTATGTATTATGATTCTCTTTTTTAAAAAATAAATTTGATTTCAAAAATGTTCTGTTCTTGTGTGTCCAGGTGCTGAGACTGAGAGTGAAGTCCAGCATCAGCCTCAGCTGTTCAGCCCCAGGATCGCTGTACACTACCTGCTCAGGTACAGAAACTATATGGTGTTTATAAGAGATCGTTTTGAAAACTTTATCAGTCAACTAGTTTATATTAATTTTCAACAAGGCCGTATTTACACCCCTCACTTTGTCCTGTCAGAAATCTTTTTTTTATTTATTTTTTTTTAAATTTCAGATGACAGGAAAAAAAACACCAGCTGATAAAATGCAAAATAATTTGAGGGATGTGCCTCAGCTGTCTGAGGAACGTTGAATGGAGCTCCAGCTGTGATGAGACTCTTCAGTTTGTGAGTGACACACATGCTTTGCTGTCTTAATGACATGGTTGTCTGTGAACTGGGACAGAGAATTACAGTACAGCATAGTGACACACAGACTGGGACTTCAGATAGTGCTCCGCAAATACCATTTTCTTTCCTCCCCCCTCTTATCTTTCCTTTCCTCTGTCACATCTTCTGTCAGCCATAGTTTGTACTTCTCTCTCTGCCCTGTTCTCTTCTGGGGTCACACAGTCAGTACTGCTTGTCTCATTTTGCCCAGTCTCAGTAGAAATTATGTCTTTAATCTACAATAGAAAATATGTCCACACCACAGATAATTTTGTCTTTTTAAAAGCTTTTATCCAACTCTTTTCTTATTAAAGCATTTGCCTAAAGCTTTGTAGAATAGTACACCATATTGCGATGCACCTTAAAGGCCCAGCACACCCATGGTGCACTGAAACAGCTGCTAACACTTATTGTGCCTGACTGTATAATTCAATTATAGAATTCTTTTTTTTTTTTCATTTTGCATTATTCCCCACTTTTGTTAATCCCTGGTTCAGTAGATTAACTCTTACTGCTTTCCACACCCGCTGTTCTCGAGCCCCACTGATTGGTCCCTGACACCTACACGTTGGCATCAAACAGAAGATTATTTTTAGACAAGCCCCGAGTGATGAAACGAGAACTCAGGGCTGTGTCATGTGCAAACATTGTAGGAATAATGAAAAAAATGCTTTGAACTTTCACCAACAGACATGCACGTTTAGACTTTAATGTCTTTGTCTGCTTCCTATCAGCCTGTTCACATTTGCTTGGTTGGCCTTTGAGTGTACCGCATGTGAGTCAGTTAATGAGCACTTAATCCACCAACACCATTAAGAAGATAAAGTGCACAGTGTACACGTACAGTGTGACTGCTGGCAGTGGGAGAGGTTACTCAGTGCTGAGTGGGAAATCATTTTGTTTCACACAAACAAGCATTTATTTAAGCATGAACGAGCGAAGTAAATGCTCGAGTGTCAGTTCAACCTCTGTGACATCCTTCTCTGCATTCATTCGATGATGCTTTTATTCAGGGTGATGTGAGAGCCAAAACCTAACCTTCTTATATCGCCAACATTACAAGCAAACACTCTTTAAAATGTCAAATGTCAAAGCATTAGTGCTCTGATAATTTTCCCATCATCACCACAGAAAACTGGCCTGACACAGTGCTGAAAGTACAGAGATAATGATCCTTTAGAAAAGGTTGAAATGTTTAAGTCAGATTTGTTACTGGTCCTCGACTGCAAAGAGCACCTGTCTTTAGTTATAAGGTTGCAACTCAAAAGATGCATTTAACGTCTCAGTTTTCTGAGCTGCCAATAAGACCTGATGTGCACACTGGAGAAGACAAAGACAGAAAGCAAAAAGAATGTAGATGTGACAGTGGCATTGAAAGGAGAAAACAAAAAGCACTGCAAATGTTACCTGAACTGACATATAAATATGGATAAACACAATTAACAAATTCATCTTGTAAATGAAACCTTACCCAAGTACAATGCTTTAATGATAAATCACAGTTACAGTTCTGATAACTCAGGAGCGACACAGCAGCCAGACATTTCCCCATTATATGTTTAGTAGGAGTTGATATTGTCACTACAGTGAGAGTAGCTGCTTCACTTTAACAGTCCACCTTAAAGGAGCCTGGTCAGGTTCCAATGGGAGGCTAATTAAGCTCACTAACTCCCTTCACTTTAATCAGCAGACAATAAGCAAGATATAGGAGCTTGTCTTAGTTCTGTGAGCATTTACTCACTGACAAAAAGCCTAAACTGTTCACACATTGCACTGCTATATTTAACTTCATACTGTGTGTTCCAGTACCCATGCTACCGTACTATTTTACGCCAGAAAAAGATTTAGTATGTCAATTGCAGGGTGCCAAAAATACCAGGATGTTCTACTACATCTGGTCGTATTTTGCAGTTTGGAAGTCAGCATGCTTTTCTGGCTACTCTGACCCACGATCCTCTGAGCAGCAGGCGATACATCACATTAGGCCCGTTTCCACAGCAGGAACTTCGGGGTAATTTTACGGGGCCGGGGCCGTTGGTGCGTGTCTCCACCGGTCTCCACCGCAGGAACCACCCCCGAAAAAGGATAGACTTTAAAATCTTGTTACTTGTCTATAAAGCACTAAATGGTCTCGGGCCTAAATACATCTCTGATATACTTGTACGTTATGAAGCATCCAGACCTCTCAGATCATCTGGAAGAGGTTTACTCAGTGTTCCCAGGATCAAAACCAAACAAGGTGAAGCAGCCTTTAGTTTCTATGCTCCTTGTCTGTGGAACAAACTTCCAGGATATCTGAGGTCGGCTGAAACTGTCAACTCATTTAAATCAGGGCTTAAAACATTACTATTTACTGCAGCTTACCAGTGAACTAGATATGTTACTTATTGTTAGGATAATCTGTAGCTATTGTTTTTATATTTGTCTGCTGTTGCTTTTGCTTTATGTTTGCTTTTTAAATGCATTTTCTGCACTGTTTTTCTTGCTTTTAGCTTTTGTTTTTAATGACCTATTGTTCCTTTAATGTTTTATCTTAACGTATTTCTCTTGTAAAGCACATTGAATTGCCTTGTGTATGAATGATGCTATATAAATAAAACTGCCTTGCCTTGCCTGAAGGACAGAGTTCCGGAACTTTTACAGGGGCTAAACAAGTCCCTGCCTCGGAGTATGTACTCAAAACGGCCCTGAGAAACTCCTGGCTGGGGCTTGGTGCTGATTGGATATACTCAAGGTGGGATGTGACGTTTTGTAAATAACAACACGGTTATTGTAGTTTAGCTAGGCTAACCGTTAGCTGTTAGCGGTGTCTGTAATAACTCATTAAACAGTCCGTGAAAAAAATATTTTTTCCAGCGGATATCTTAGTTATAACATGATTGAGCTAGCAAAGCAGTTTTGTGTTGATATGTGTGGTATTTATTCAGTTTTGGGAAATCACAATGTCTAGAAAGCATCAGCTGACAGGGACAGCTAACAGCAGCAGCAAAGCTAACATCAGGACGTCATCTGTTAAAAGCCTCCCGTTGTCGGATACGACATAAAACTACTCCAGTTAGCTCAATCATGTTGTAACTAAGACATCCGCTGGAAAAAATATTTTTTTCACGGACCGTGACCGGAGTTATTACACTAACGGCTAACGGCGTCCCTACGTCCCTACGTTGCCCCGGTCAAAATGGTCGTGCAATGATTATGTCACATACAGAGCCCGGTAACTTTACAGGAACCTTCCTCGTACTCTCGTGCTCTCTCAGTGGAGACACGGCGGTTGAGAGGGCCGAGCGAGAGGACGTTCCTGTAGTAGTTCCTGCCCCCCAAATAGTACCAGGAACTTCTTCAGTGGAAACGGGCCTATTGACTGAGCCACAAACAGATCACAGCTGATTGACAGGTGATTGACAGCTCTCAGAAATCACCTTGACGGCTGACAGCGCATGATGACTAGTCAAGTAATAATATGAATATTTATTGTTTAAATGAACAAAAAAATGACAGAGATCAACCAAAAACAAATGGACACAACTATAAAATTAAAAATGACAGAGAAATGCTGTGAATGTTATATGTTAGAGACAGAAACGTATACAGTTTAACTATAGTTAAAACTCCACACATCGTAAAGTAACAGCAGCTCACTCCATGTTGACCTTCGTCTCTGGCGAGCTCAGCGAACAGTGTTTTGTTATATCTCCAAGGTGACAGATGTATAAGAAAGAGGGTCAAAGTTCAGTTCAATGTTGTGAGAAAGTGGTATTGAATTTGTAACAACTCAACTTAACTTTATGTACAGTACAGGCCAAAAGTTTGGACACACCTTCTCATTCAATGCGTTTTCTTTATTTTCATGACTATTTACATTGTAGATTCTCACTGACGGCATCAAAACTATGAATGAACACATGTGGAGTTATGTACTTAACAAAAAAAGGTGAAATAACTGAAAACATGTTTTATATTCTAGTTTCTTCAAAATAGCCACCCTTTGCTCTGATTACTGCTTTGCACACTCTTGGCATTCTCTCCATGAGCTTCAAGAGGTAGTCACCTGAAATGGTTTCCACTTCACAGGTGTGCCTTATCAGAGTTAATTAGTGGAATTTCTTGCTTTATCAATGGGGTTGGGACCATCAGTTGTGTTGTGCAGAAGTCAGGTTAATACACAGCCGACAGCCCTATTGGACAACTGTTAAAATTCATATTATGGCAAGAACCAATCAGCTAACTAAAGAAAAACGAGTGGCCATCATTACTTTAAGAAATGAAGGTCAGTCAGTCCGGAAAATTGCAAAAACTTTAAATGTGTCCCCAAGTGGAGTCGCAAAAACCATCAAGCGCTACAACGAAACTGGCACACATGAGGACCGACCCAGGAAAGGAAGACCAAGAGTCACCTCTGCTTCTGAGGATAAGTTCATCCGAGTCACCAGCCTCAGAAATGGCAAGTTAACAGCAGCTCAGATCAGAGACCAGATGAATGCCACACAGAGTTCTAGCAGCAGACCCATCTCTAGAACAACTGTTAAGAGGAGACTGCGCCAATCAGGCCTTCATGGTCAAATAGCTGCTAGGAAACCACTGCTAAGGAGAGGCAACAAGCAGAAGAGATTTGTTTGGGCCAAGAAACACAAGGAATGGACATTAGACCAGTGGAAATCTGTGCTTTGGTCTGATGAGTCCAAATTTGAGATCTTTGG